CTGCAGCCCCTCCTTCAGCGCATCGAACATGACCTGCAGCAGGTTACAGGCCGCCAGAGACACCTGCTCGTGCTCCACTCCCAGCATGGCCGAGACACGTGGCGCCTCCAGCTCCGCGAGGATGGCCATGGTCTGTGAGCACAGGGGAGCAGTCTGCTAGAAGATCGCTGAGAAGCCCCAAGCCCGCCCAGCCCTGCCCCTTCACCACACACTAGGCCCCAGCAAGTCCCCGCTGCCCTGTCCAGATACCCAGCAGTGCCTGCCTGGGCCAGGAGCCCGCACCCCCCAAACGCTCTCGGGCGAGCAGAGGGAAGGGAGAGATCTCGCCAGCTAGACAGCAGGGTGGGGACAGACGAGCACAGCAGCCTGGGAGCTGGCCCTGCGGGAGACGGGCTGCGGAGTCAGCGCCACAGGAGAGCGAGGCAGGAAGAGGCTCCACGCCGGGGCAGCCAGGCTGTGCTGGGCAGCCCCTGATCCCAGCTACAGAGGTGGAGTCGGGCAGGCGGCTCTCTCCCAGCACAGCCCACGCAGGCAGACGGAGCCCCAGCCAGGCCAGGGCAGGCAGCAGTGGCCCCGGTTACCGCGCCGCTCCACAGCGTCAGTAACTGCAGGCAGCAACCCCCAGGGTGAGTCTCCCACCAGCACTCCCTGCACCCAATGCGCTGGGCGCGTGCGGGGTACGCGTCTGCATGGGGCACAGGCCCCAAGCCGTGGGAGAAGCCCACACTTACCCGTGACCGGTGCCCAGAGCACAGGCCAGCCAGGGTGCGCAGAGCTGCCAGCATCGCATCCTCTCTGCCTGTGTCCAGCATGCGCAGCAGCAGCCGCACGCCATCGCTCTGGAAGATCTTCTCCGCCCCGGCCTCTTCCCGGGCCAGCACGATCAGGTTCTGCGCTGCCTGGGAGACAGGAGTCGTGTGCAGGTTGACAAGCGGGGCTGGGCACAGCCAGGGAAGGAGCCCAGGGAGCAAGGAACCTCACTGGCACCAGCAGGCAGGACACCAAGGGGTCCCGAGTGGGATCACTGCCCGGGCAGCCAGCGAGAGGCGCCCCCTTGTCTTCCAGCAGCTCAGACCTGCCAAGCCAGAGTCTACTGCAGCATGAACACAAGCCCCCATGCCCAGAGCCACAACGGCCTGTCTCCCCGCCCCACAGCTCACGCCTTCCGCCTGGGGACTGGAAGCCCCCCACCCCCATCAGCGCCTGCCCAGCTACTCCAGCTCCCCCGACAGCCCCTCCTCCCCCACCATAATTCCCCCCAGCACCTGCCCAGCCGCTCCAGCTCCACACCCAGACAGCCCCCCCCACCCCCACCACATTCCCTCGCCGGGTCACAGCCAGCTCCCACCCCCAGCCCTGTGCCTGCTCAGAGCTGGTACCTTCTGTTTTTTGTCTGTGTCTGTTTCTTTGGGGTCCAGTAAGATCTGAAACATCTGCTCTACTTTGGAGTCCGTGCAGGACATGAGCTTCATCTGAGACAGACGGAGGGACAGGTTAGCGACGGCCTCTATCACCCTGCAGCGGGAGTCTCGGCCTGGGCCACGAGGCTGGGAGCACAAGGCCTCTCAGAGACTGGCAGTGCTGGGAACATTAGCCCTCTAGAGCCCTGGCCCAGGCCTTGCTCCTGCTCCGCTGGCACTCACCTTCTCCTGCATGCTGCTCCCCAGGTCATGCAATGCCTCCAGGAAGGCCTTGTTCCTGGGCTCCAGGCTCACACATCTGCGCAGGTCGTAGACTGCCTGGTCCAAGCGGCCCAGCTTCTGCAGCGCCTGGCTGCGGCGGAACAGCGCCTTCACGTCATGGCCATCGGCTTCGATGGCTGAGCAGAGACCAGAGCACAGTCAGAGGGGGTCTTTGGGCCAGCTCCCCCTACACCCAGCTGACCGACAACCCCAGCCCTGCCGTACCTTTAGACGCATCAGCTTCTGCGTTGGCATAATCTTCCTGCAAAGAAGGGAGGCAGGTGAGAGAGGCGGGTCACCATGGTGTTAGAAGCAAAGGACTGCCAGGCTGGGTCCCACTGGCTCGCAGGCCTGTCATGGACACGGGAGGTGACAGAAGCCCAGATCAGAGGAGGAGAGCCTGACCTGTCCACAGCGGGAGGTTCCAGGATTTTTGGATATCACTGAGCAGATGTTGCCCAGGAGTTGCCATGGCAACAGACAGGTCCCCAGCTGCTCAGCCCACCCTGGCCCAGGCATCCCTCATCAGACCAGAGCAGACCAGTGCCCTGGGCCCTGCTGGCCTCACAATGCAGGAACTCCCACTGCCATGATCCCCCCTTCCCCTGGCTCGAAACACGGGGCTTCACGCCAGTCCCTGGCTGGGTTCGCACTTGTCACAGCCCAGCTGGCACAGGTGCCAGGGTGATGGCACCGGGCAAATGCTCACTAGCCCTTCGAGCGCAGGAGGGAGCTCTGAGAGACAGAGCAGGGACGAGGCCAGCGGCTCGGGGGATGGGAAAAGGTCCCCGTTATCGACCGGTCCAGGTCTCACCCTGCACCCATCACTCCACCACCCAAGTGCCTTTTGCTCGCCGCTGATGCTGACTTGCCAAGAGAACCTGGGCAAGGTGCCCTTCCCCCCGCGCCCGCTTGCCCGGGGGCCACCGCCTGGGCGGGGGCAGGAGGTGCCGCTAACACCCAGCCCAACTCAGGCGGGGGGAGGCAGGCAGCTAGGCCGGTCAGTGGCCTCAGGCTGGCAGTGCAGCGGGCGGGTCACGGACACACACACACCCCCCCCCGGACCCCCCGCTCACCAGCTTCAGGTGGCAGGCGGCCCGGTTGCGGTGCAGGACGGCGCGCTCCGGGGGCCCCGCGCACAGCGCCAGGGCGCGCGTGTAGACGGCCAGCGCCGCCGCGTAGTCCCCGGCCTGGAAGAGCCGGTTCCCCTCCTGCCGCAGCTGCCCCGCCGCCCCCTGGGGAAAGAGACCGTCAGAGGGGCCGGAGCCCCCCCTCCCCCGGGACCCTCACCCCGCCCCGAGAGCCGGGACCCCCCGTCCGTCCGTCCTCCCGTCCCTCGGCCCCCCCGCCCCCGAGACCCTCACCCCGCCCCGGGAGCCGGGACCCCCCGTCCGTCCGTCCTCCCGTCCCGAGAACCGGGACCCACCATCCGCCCGCCCCGGGAACGCCTCCCGTTCGTCCGGCCCCCAAATCCCGAGAGCCGGGACCTCCACCCCCCCGGGAGCCGGGCCCCCCCGCCCCGGGTCACTCACGGCCCCCTCCATGCTGAGTCCAAACGCCGAGTCGGCCGCTCCCTCCACGCAGCGATTCGCCCCGCCCCCACTCACCCCGGCCCCGCCCCGCCCCGCCCGGCGCGGCGCAATGACGCCATCTGCCAGCGCCCCCAGTCGGCCTCGCTAGGACGCCGCTGGCGCGGAGGCCGGAATCACGTGATGGGCACAGGGCTGGGGCGGGGCTTAACCTGCGGGGTCTGGAACCCCGCCCCGCGCGGCACCGCCCGTTGACTCTGGAACCTAACGATGACCACGTGCCTGTCCAGGGGCCGGGCCGCCGCTGCACAGCAGGGGGAGCCGAGCGTGCAGGCCCTCCACCCAACGCGGAGCTGGAGGGGTTTCTGGGCCCCCAGCCAAGGAAGCTAGCTGGGCTCCTGCGGGCAGCTGTGCCCCAGGGAGGTGCCCAGGGGGATGATGGGAAATCAGCAGGGGTCGCTGCAGGGCTCACTAGGGTTGCCAACTTTTTAATTGCACAAAACCGAACACCCCTCCCCCAAGGCCCTGCCCCCTCTCCGAGTCTCCACCGGCACTCGCTCCGTCCACCCTCCCTCTGTCGCTCTCCCCCACCCTCACTCAGTTTCACTGGGCTGAGGCAGGGGCTTGGGGTGATGGTGGCGGGGGGATGCGGGCTCCGGCTGGGGGTGCGGGCTCTGGGTGGGGCCGGGGATGAGAGGTTTTGGGTGCAGGAGGGGGCTGGGGCAGGGTGTTGTGGGGATGCGGGCTCCGGCTGGGGGGGTGGGCTGTGGGGTGGGGCCAAGGATGAGGAGTTTGGGGTATAGGAGGGGGCTCAGGGCTGGGCGGGTGTTGGGGGTGCAGGGTCCTGGTGGTGCTTACTGTGGATCGTGGGAAACGGCCGCCAGACCCTGCAGACCCTAGACGCATTGGCATGGGCGGCCAGGGAGGCACCACGCGCTGCCTTCGTGCCTGCAGCCACTGCCCCCGCAGCTCCCATTGGTCACGGTTCCTGGCCAATGGGAGCTGTGGACTTGGCCCTCGGGGCGGGGGCCGCACACGTAGCCTCCCTGGCGCCCATACCCACATGTCTAGGGTCTGCAGGGTGTGGGCCACTTCCGGGAGCTGTGCGGAGCTAGAGCAGGCAGGGAGCCTGCCTTAGCCCCGGGTCCTCACTGCGCCACTGCCTGGACTTTTAATGGCCCAGTTGGTGGTGCCAACCGGAGCTGCCAGGGTCCGTTTTTGACCGGGCGTTCTGGCTGAAATCTGGATGCCTGGCAACCCTGGGGCTCAGGCGGGTGGCGCTGGTTGGCTGGACCCGGGGCAGATATCAGGCTCCAGTTCCAATTTGCCATGTGGCTAAGTCCCCAAGTTGCACAACTTGGCGGCAGCCAGACCTACAGCCCGTTCGCCACAGACCCAGCAGCTGGGATCAGGAGCAGACGCTGCAGAGGTGACCAGGTGGGATGGTGCCAAAGAGGGGAGGGCCTCACCCACAGCTGTGCAGTGAGCATTCACTCAGGCAATGCAGGAGTGTACACGCGCACACCCGCACATGTCCACATCCCTCCACACGCACACCCACACCCAAATACATACATATACCCATGCGCACACACCTCTACACGTCCATGCCCCACAGCCCGCACATCCCCTCACACCGACACGTGTCCACACCCCTCACACCCACATGTGCACACCCCACAGGAGCACACCCCACACACCCACGCACACACCCACACGTGCACACCCCACACATGCACACACCCCACCTGTCCACACCCCACACGTGCACTCCACACACACACACACCCACACACACCCATGCTGATGCCTATCGCACATAACCCTGTGAACCCTCCCATGCTCCCTTGAACAGGTGCGCAGCAGCTGGGCTGGCCACGGAGGAGCAAGGACCCCGCCCGCAGCCCTCGGTGCCCAGGGTGGGGGTCGAGGCACAACCAGCAATAAAAGGGAACTGACGAGTGTGACCAGCTGTGAATGAGGAGCTGCAGGCAGCCCCAGGGACCCTGAGCACAGATGAAGAGGGCAAGGGCCAGGAGACCCCAGCCCTGCCCCGCTTGTGTCATCATGTGGCTCCACCCCCCTACACACACCGCAGGGTTCCTCTCTCCCCAGAGGTCACATCCCAGACAGAGCACTCGGGGACAGGGCTTGGCCTGTCAAGCAGCTTAGGCACTTTATAAGGGCCAGGCCAGGCCAAACAGTGCGAGGCTGAGGCGTGGGCTCGCTTTATCGCAGTGGCAGCGCGACAGGCTCTGCTAACAGTGTCTCTGTAATACCTACAGCCGACACGCCCTCTGCCCCAAGCGTCACCCCACAGTCACTGCGGTCCCGGCTCTTCACACTTGCTGTCCTGGCTGGTCTGGGCCGTGGGCAGCTCCTGCCGCTGGGTCCCTCCTCGCGCCGGGCCGGGCCGTGGGCAGCTCCGGGCCAGGCCATGGGCAGCTCCAGGCTGGGCCATGGGCAGCTCCTGCTGCTGGGTCCCTCCTTGCGCTGGGCCGGGCCGTGGGCAGCTCCGGGCCGGGCCGTGGGCAGCTCCGGGCTGGGCCGTGGGCAGCTCCTGCCGCTGGGTCCCTCCTCGCGCCGGGCCGGGCCGTGGGCAGCTCCGGGCCAGGCCATGGGCAGCTCCAGGCTGGGCCGTGGGCAGCTCCTGCTGCTGGGTCCCTCCTCGCGCCGGGCCGGGCCGTGGGAAGGAGCTGGCCAGGCGCTTGCCCAGGCGACTGCTGCTCAAGAGGCTGTAGAAGCGGCGCTGGTTGAGTCTGCAGAAGTGCAGGAAGTCGAGGCTCATGAGCGTGAGGATGAGGAGGCCGTAGAGCCCCACAGCCAGCAGGGGCAGTGGGTTCCTGAGGGGAAGGTACAAGGCAACAGCTGTGTTACACTGGGCACAATACTGCTACAACGGGGTGGTTCCACTGTCCCGGGGGAACCCAGCTGCCAGGCGGTGTCCCCCACTGGGCACTATTGGGTGCGCCCAGGCAGCCCTGTCCTACTTGTATATCTTCCCCAGCTCGATGCCAGGGGGCGTCGTCCCACTCCTGGGGAGCCCGGTGCTGCTAGGGAAATGTATGGACCATGGTGCTCAGCGGAGGCGCTACTCATGGACACCTTGCAAATGGAGAGTCGCTGCTTTGCAGCTGCTGCTGGAAAACTGGGCTGGGCATGAGTCGCTAATGCCCGTTAACGAGCTCTGGCCACTTGAGTGGATTAGAGAGGCATGATTGTCCTTTACAACATAAGAACAGCCACACTGGGTCAGGCCAATGATCCATCGAGCCCAGTATCTTCCGGCAGTGGCCGACGCCAGATGCTTCAGAGGGAATGAACAGAACAGGGCAGGTACCAAGTGATCCATCCCCTGGTGTTGGAGAGAAGGCTTTGGATTCTTCGACCATGGGATGGTGTTTCAAGAAGGAGGAGTGCTAGGCAGAGACGGGCTCCACCTAACGAAGAGAGGGAAGAGCATCTTCGCCAGCAGGCTGGCTAACCTAGTGAGGAGGGCTTTAAACTAGGTTCACCGGGGGAAGGAGACCAAAGCCCTGAGGTAAGTGGAGAAATGGGATACCGGGAGGAAGCACGAGCAGGAGAGCACAAGACGGGAGGACTCCTGTCTCAGACTGAGAAAGCGGGAGAATCAGCGAGTTATCTTAAGTGCCTATACACAAATGCAAGAAGCCTGGGAAACAAGCAGGGAGAACTGGAAGTCCTGGCACAGTCAGGGAACTATGATGTGATTGGAATAACAGAGACTTGGTGGGATAACTCACATGACTGGAGTACTGTCATGGATGGATATAAACTGTTCAGGAAGGACAGGCAGGGCAGAAAAGGTGGGGGAGTTGCGTTGTATGTAAGAGAGGATGCAGAGAGCAGAGAGGGATAGTAAGGGATGGCAGAGACTCCTTAGAGCCTCTG